CAGAATGATCTGAATAGCTAAAAGACGAGAAGATAGCAAAAGTGCTATTTATTTAATTAAAGATGATAAAATCAGAAAACAGAGTTGTGGGGTGGTGTTAGCAAAGAGCTGAAGAGGCCTTCATTCTTTAGTCCAGCGGAAGCAGAATATCAGATGGCTGAGATGGGGACTGAGGCAGCCCCGTGGGGCCGAGGGCATTGTGCTGGTCTGGGCAGCCCTCCAGCCCCCAGGTGGACCAAGGGGGCTGGCTGCACTGGCTGAATAAGAGCACTGCTCACAAATCATTTAAAATATTTCATAATTAAGGAAAAATGGTTTCTAAGAAGCACTGCCTCCAGGAAAGGGATTTGGAATAAGACCAATAATAAAATTAACCGGACCTCCGTTTGAGCCACTACCCTATGTGGCAGTGTTGGCTGTGTCATTAGCTCCTACCTCAAGAGAAAACCTGAGCCCTATTCACATGAAGGAATGTAGGCTCATCCCAGACTGCCAGTCAGATGACACATTCAGATCACATTAATCAAAGAGGGGAGAGATGCTACTAACCCCCCCAACTCACCACATTTACATATTCAAAAGGTGACATAATAGCAAGCCTCAAGGTGCTTGCAATTCATTTGGAAGAGATAAGGCTAGGACCTACATGGACAATATTTTAGAATACTTATCAAGCAATAAATAACTAGCTGCAGATTGACACTCTCTGGATTCCAGAGTCTAGTTTAATCCCATTTTAGCCATTTAGATCCCTAAATAAGAACTTTGGCAGGTATAATTCCAAATGGGGGAAGACACAAACATTGCCAAATATATACCTTGACAATATTTTCCTAAAATGGAAATGTCCTTATCGCTCCTACTGATTAAAAAGAGAAGAATGAGAGCAACTTAAATATCGATTATCTGGGTCGTCTTATATGAGTATGACGCATTCCTTATTGTTTTAACTAGAGAATGAGGAAGTTTGCTTTGTACTGAAATGGAGAGATCTCTGTATCTCTCAGTGTCCAAACAGGAAAGCAGAAACCACTCTGTATATTTCAAGCAGAGAAGGATGCAATGTAGGAAACTGGTTAAAAAACTGCTGGAAGGGCTGAGGAGCAAAGAAAGAAGGAGGCTCTTACCTAAAGACTGGGAAGCTGCTGGTGTCCCTTAGCTGGATCCAGTGAGTGGAAACTCACTGCTGATGTTGCTGAAACCACTCCCAGGCTTCTCGAGCCTGTAGCACAAGCAGTCAAGCCCAGCTGCTTGTCCTTGCTGCTGCCAGTAGCAGAGGAAATGACTAGTCTCTTCCTCCCACTCTGGAACCTACTGCCAGTGCCTCCCACTTGAAGAATCTAACATGAAATAGGCTGGATGAGTGAGTCTGGGAAAGAGAATAGAGAGTATCTAGAAGGATAAATTTGGACCTAACAGCCAAGGGACACAATCTGGTACATGCACTCTTTTGCTACTCAGATCCACACATTCCATTATACCTATCCAACAACATCATACTTCCACCTAACAGAAGGCAACTATATTCCTCACACAGATGAATGCAGGCTCACTCTCTCCCTGAAAGGGGGGAACATAGAGTGGGACCGCTGTGAAGAGGCAGCCTCAGCCACTGTGTTCACCTCTGGGTGATGCTAATTCCTCTTCTCTTTCAGTCACCATTGCACCTCGGAGATTCTGTAACCTAAAGGCTAAATTGTAAAGTTAACCACCAACAACACTCAGTGTTACACATAACAAGCAAAGACAAAAATATGCACAGCTGCTATAGTTCTTGTTTTGATAACTGGTAACAAAACTAGTTGATAGATAAATGATAATTGATAATGATAAAATGATAATGATTATGATAATGATAAAAAATGATAGTTGATAATGATAATGATTGATAATGAGCTTCTTCCAATGTCCATTCTATGTTTCCTTTGTCTTTAACCGACACCTCAGTTGTTTGGGGTTCTTTCCTGGCAGGATGACTTAAGCCTTCATTTCTGGAGGGTTTGAGTCTTTAGTGGTCTTGCAGGTTGCAATACTATTCCGATAACTTTTTTCCATAGTGGAAAAAGTTCAATGTAATAAGCTTGCTACCAGGTAGCTGGCTGGTCCCCCTGGGGAATGATGCTACATCAGGGCTCAGCATTGGTCTCTTCTGTCAGCAGGTTAGGCATTCAGCAGTGACAGTAGCCAGATCAGGCTTGGTGAGGGGAAGTCCATATCATCGAGCCCATGCATAGCTTCCATTCCTGCCACAATGGCCATGCTCTACATGAGCCTACTGAGCAAGCCTCAGGGTGGCTGGGAAAGGGGCACAGTGACATCCACAGAATGGGCCATTTAATTCCAATTGATTGGAATTGATTCGATTCCAATTGGCTGTCCAGTTGATTACCGACAGCTTCATCAGTGGATGCCCCATGGTGAGAATTCACATATGACAGTGCCCATATGGAGAGGTCCATCTGCAAACCTCTTCCTCAGACTCTCTTGTCACCAATATGCCAATCAAACCACTAGTCACCCATTAATTGGTAAAACTTCTACCTCTGGCCATCTCTCCATCCAGACAAAGCAGACAACTGCTCAGCCTTGAGAGAACTTCCCTTACCACATTCCGGAGTTGGGCTATAATGCTGTAGCTGTCTACATCCACCTAGTGCCTTCAAATTGTAAGGAACCATATGTGAACCTGGCCCAAATGTCTTCTTCCTCTGTCAACTGTCAATCCCAAAAGGACATAAGTGTGGGTTGAGGGAGAAAAATGCAGCAAGAGGAGGTGCTATGGGAATCTGAGCTACCTGCTCATGAAACTTACTTGTGCATTCAGGACCTGCTCAACTCCAATCTGGTATACACTATTTATACCAGATGATGGATTGCTGCTGTGCATGCCCAACATTATGGCTTAGTAGATCAGTGTATTAGTTATCTATTGCTGCATAACAAATTATCCCAAAACAAGCATTTATTATCTCACCTGGTTTCTGAGAGTCAGAAATCTGGGAACAACTAACTGGAAGGATCTGGCTCAGAGTCTCTCACAAGGTTACAGTCAAGCTGTCAGCCAGTGATTTACCCACCTCAAGGCTTAACTAGAAATGCTGTAGACCAGTGATTCTCAAATGGGGGCATTTTGCTTCCCCGAGGATATTTGGCAATGTCTGTAGAGATTTTTGGTTGTCACAACTCGGGGTAGTGCTGCTGCTGGAGTCTAGTGGGTGGAGGCCAGGGATGCTGCTAAGTGTCCTACAATTCTCAGGATAGCCTCCCACATCAAAGAATTATTTGTCCTAAAAATGTCAACAGTGCCAAGGTTGAGAAACCCTGCTAGTCAGCCTTCTTTTGCTCTGGTCCCCACACAGAACTGGCAGGCTCATGGGTTACTGAAAACATTGCTTTGAACAATACACTCAAAAAGAGTGTGTTATCTCAAAAATCAAAAGAGGTGGAAAACATTGTAGCTCTTTCTTAGTGGTCGATGGTACAAAGTACAGCAATCTGCCTTTCAAGTTGGAGAGGAAATGCCAATATTTCCCAGACCACTGGACCCCTAGAAACTTCACTGAGGTAGTAGGCCTTTGATTTTTCTTGGGGTTTATCTCCCACCCTCTGGCATACATATGTCTTATTAAGGCATCTAAGGTATGTGCTACTTCCTGCTCCCCGTGTCAATAACATAATATATATCAGCATGATGTTCTGGGGACTATCAACATGATCAAGGCCCCTGCAGACTCGAACTTGTCAGAGAGCAGAAGAGTCAACACAGGCCTGAGGTAAGACAGTGAGGGTGCTTTGCCAATCCTGCTGGTTGAGAGCAAGCTCCATCTGGTGATCTTTGCTAATATGGTATTGAGAAAAAAAGCATCTGCCAACTCAATAGCTACATACAAAGTGCCAGGAGCTCTGTTGTGTTATCCAGTAAAGAGACTACATCTGGTCCAGTACCTGAATAATTTTACAAGAAACCACTGTCATTCACCAATAACCACTTTCCTTCTGCACACGCCACACAGATGAGTTAAATGAGGATATGGTAGAACAACCCCTGTATTGTTCAAGTGTTAGGTGGAGATACTAACCTTTGCAATTCTCCCAGGGTTGTGGTATCACTTTCAGTTTACTCTTATGTAGAAAGAGGAAATTCCAGAAAGCTTCCACATGGCCCATTTTACCATAACAAGGCTTATTACACAGGTTAGGGAATCAATATGGTGGTTCCTTTAGTTGCTGATGTTACCTATTACAACTCTATTCAGGAATGGGAAAATAACCACAGTGTGGGTGAATAGACTCATTGTAAGCCTGTGAGGCAGCCACAGGCCAAAATTTCATTTATCACCTGATTGCCACAAGTGACCCCCTCCTCCAGGGGTCCAGAGGCATTTGGGGACTTGAGAGATTAGCAATGACTCAGAACCAATGTCCAGAAATCCCTAAAAGGCCTGGATATTCCCCTTTCCTCAGTGCACGGTCACCCTAGTGAATGGCTGCAGATCTTTTGGGGAAGACTTAAAGGAATATTTATGCTAGATACTTACAGCAATGTTATGGAGTCCCTTCTTGAGGCTTCCCAGTCTCTCCTTCATCCAAGGTTAGAGTTCTCAAATCTTAGCATGCACCAGCATCAGCTGAAGTGCTTGCTGGACCCACCTCCAGAGTGTTCATGTCAGTAAGGCCGGGGTAAGGTCTGAAAAATTTGCATTTCTAACAAATTCCCAGGTGATGGTGCTGCTGCTATTCCTTGGACAGGTTGAGAATCAGTGATCTGAGGATTTCTAAGTCTTTGAACTGATTCAGGTCTGAGACTTGGGTGACAGGCTACAACTTTCCATCGAACAACTCAGGTTTCTGTTCACTAGACATAGAGATTTTCCAATTACATAAATCAACCAATTCTTAGTAGACTGCCCATCTACTTTGGTCCTACTGCCACCATGAACAATTAGCCAACACCAAAGATCCCTATGTGCTTTCTGCTCCAGGCACTCTGCCCATTACAGTAACTGCACCCACCTTGCTTCTGGCTGTTAAGGGCTGCCACTTGGCTCTGCCCCTCCAGGAGCCTGTCATCCACTGAAATCAAGAAGTCTATTTTAATGTTGGTGTCTTTTTCATTGGTGGATCTCTTAAGAACCCCTGAACAAGAGAGTTAGTTGAAACATCTACCAAGTCTGGAAAAGACTGACCATAATAATATCAATCAAGAAAGACCTTTTCCATTTTTCTTAGCACTCTGTCTCCCAAATCCCCATCCCAGAGGGGCCATAAACTGTGGTTAGCATGATAGGGTCATAAGAGTAGAAGCAGCCGGTAGGCAGAGAGAGAAGGAGCTGATCACAACCCGATCGCTGCTGCAGGCTTCTCACTTCCTTACGGGATGAGAAGGAGGCTTATCTGCAAAGCAAGGTTTAGATTATCACGTGGAATTTAATTACTAAAATAAGAGGGTGTTTTGTGATTTGAAGTGACTAGAGATCAATTTGTATTATTTAAGAGTGACGAGAGAACTCAGGAGTGTGCCTGAGTTTCCATCCAGGTGATGGTAAAGAGAAATCCCATCCCGTGAATTATAAAAGATACTGGGAAGTACAAATAAGGTTGCTTTGTAATTGACCCTCTAAGACCTGCTCATTCAATGTACTGGCTATAATGGCAAATGATGTGGAAACACATAGAGATGGGTATGTCTCCATAGAGAAGGCAGGAGATAAAACAGCACGCTCCCAGACACAGCCATGGCTTCCCAGGTCCCCAAAGGACCATGGAGATAGGCAGCTGTGGATGGTACTATCATGAGCAATGAGGATTCCACCACGGCCTGAAGCACACGCATGGGCTTTTATACACTCCTGGCCCTCCCTCACACCCGATTATTCCAGAGACTCTGCTAATGTGCCTACACACTCACGGGGTGCAAAACAACCCCAGTGTGCTTCTGAGTGTTAACTAGGAGACTGGGTGAAATGAAAGGCAATATCACAGAATTTCCTCCAGGAGGCTCAGACTTAGATCTGCCTGAGTTCCATTCCTGAATGTCCCCAAACGACTTATTGGAAAGTGTATCATTTCCTCTCTCTTTGGTAAATGATAAAATAAGCATTTAAATAAATAGATCAGTCTGTTTCTGTATTCTTCTCTTTTCCTTAGGTCCATTAGCCTATGCCTGAGCTGGCACCAGAAGAACAGCACAAAGGCTAATGGGACTGGAGCAGAGTGAGAGAGGAGAAGAATAGGAACGAGATCAGAGAGGAATGTTCTTAAGGGGATGGGATTCACATTCAGTCCTTAAACTTGGAGTGAGCCCCAGTGGGGTTTTGAGCAGAGGGTGCTTTGATTTGATGGGTATTAACAAGATCACTCTGGCTACTATGTTGTTCTACGGAGAACAGATCGTGGGGGGCAAGAGTGGAAGCAGGATGTTATTGAAATCATCCAGGTGAGAGAGGATAGCTGCCTGACCGGGTGTTGGAGGTGGAAGTGACGAGAAGTGGTCAGAACCTGGATATATTCTGAAGGGAGAGCCAACGAGGTTTCCTAATGTATTGGATGTGACATGTGAGAGTGAGGTCAAGAATGACTCTAAGGTTTCTTTTCTGAGTAACTGGAAGGATCTGAAATGGAATAGAGTGTGGGAGGAACAGGTTTCAGGGAAAAGACCAAATTTTAGACATGTTTAATCTGAGATATCTCTGATATTTGAGTAGAGATGTCAAGTTGGCAGTTCAATGCACAAATTGGTTTTAGGAGAGTGATCCAGGACAGGGACGATTTGGAGTCTTTAAGATAGACACAGTATTTAATGCCATGTGATTAGATCAGGTCACCAAAGGAGGGGGCACAGACAGGGATGAGGTCCAAAGACTGGGATCTGGGGGGCTGGCCCTATGACCCAGTGGTTAAGTTCGGTGTGCTCCACTTCAGTGGCCCAGGTTTGGTTCCCGGCGGCGGACCTACACCACTCATTGGCGGCCATGCTGTGGTGGCTACCCACATACAAACTAGAGGAAGATTGGCACAGATGTTAGCTCAGGGTGAATCTTCCTCAACAGAAAAAAGAAAAAAAAAGACTGGGACCTGGGCAGTCCAACATCAAGACATCATGGAATTGGGAAGAAACCAGCAAAGGAGAGTGAGAAGGAGCAGCTTGTAGGAGGAGAGTGTGGTACCATTGAAGACAAGAGAAGACGATAGTCCAAGAAGAATGGATGCTTCAGCTCTATCAAAGACTGTTGACAAGCAGAGCAAGATGAAGACCGAGAATTCACCACCCAATATAGCAGTGGGCATTGGCGACTTGCCAAGAGCAGTTTTGGTAATGTGGTGGGGCTGAAAGTCCTAACTGGAGAAGATTCAAGAAGACAGAGAAGAGAAGGATTAGAAGCAATAAGTGTAGGCATCATTTTTCTAGTAGTTTCGCTGCAAAACGGAGCAGACAAATGGAGTAGTAATGGAAGGGGCAAATGGGATCAATAAATAGTTTTTCTCTTATAAGGTGCAAGAAATGACATCACGTTTGTATTCCAATTCGAATGATCCAGTAGAGAGGGAGACGCTGATGTTTAAGAAAGAAAGGAATGAATTGTTAAGGTGCTGTATGGGCATCCATCCAGGCAAACAAGTACTCTCAAACACTGCTGGGGAAACCATATACTGGTTCAAGCTTTTTGAAGGGAAATTTGGCATTATATATCAAAATTATAAATGCACATATTCTTGGACACAGCAGTTTTATTTCCAAGAGTCTACTCTGCAGATATATTGGCATCTACGTGCAAAGACATATCTACATGTTATTAGAACATTGTATATAATATCAAAAGCCCGGAAAAAATTCAAATATATAATGATAGTGGATGGTTAAATTCACACCTGGAATACTACGCAGCATTGAAAATGAGGTTGACCTACATGTTCTGTTCTGGAAGAATCTCCAAAATTACTTAAGTGAAAAGCATCAAGGTACAGAAAAGTGCATGATATGCTTCCACCTGTGAAAAAAAGCAGGAAATAAGATGATACATAAAGAGATTTATATAAAAAATATATGTTTACATGTGCATAGAACATTTCTGAGAGATAAGGACTTACTTTCCATTGGATATCCTTTTCTAATATTTCAATTATTTTAAAAAAATGTATTTGTTATTTTTCATTAAAAATTAATAAAAAGAGAAAAAATCTTTGCTGGAAAGAAAAAAGTAAATTTAACAAATCTGTCTACGCATCATTTTACTAATGTAAAGGAAATTTTCCTATAATAACGTTTAAGGGAGAAATACCATTATCTTCTAGGTTGTTTTGGAAGGTAATGGAAAAAAAAAAGCTTTTAAACTGATTATTTACTGAACCAGCAAGGTCTTTATTCAATAATTTGAAATACTGGAATATAAATGCTCATTATGTATACCCAATGTAAAAAATTTTTAGTTTCGATGTGTATTTCTGTTGGGCACACGATAGGCATTGAATCGAATCACTAATTAGATGAATGTCAACCCTAGGCATTTCGGAAATGAAATTTAAATACAAACATATTGAGGATCCCTTCTTTTAAAGGTGAGTTTATAGGTGTGCCTACATGTAGGTGTACTTAATGTAGATTAGGATCTTTTCTTTTTCTTTTTACTTTATTGGACAGAATATAAGGGTGCTATGAACTAACCAAAAAGTCATTTTGATACAACTTAGCAAACTATTTAATCATATCATTAACAATGGAGAAGTTATCAATTAGGGATGGAAAGGAAAATGAAAAGGAGAAGACCAATTTCCAGAAGCAGAAATTATCTGAGGTTGGAGTTTAAAAATGCACCTATACTGAATTAACAGGTTATTTTAAACATAAAGGTTCTCAAATTAATAGTTCTTCAAAATGAAGAACCATACCCATTAGGTACCTCTAAAAAGGGAAAGTGGAAATTCATCGTTTTTAGCATCTGTCAGCTTGGAATCTCTTGTTTAGTACGTTCATGAGCCACATTCAAATTGAAGACCACATTGATGATCTTGACAGATGACAAGACCTTGAATTGCCCTCTGAAACATCAAGTAAGACTGCATTCCTTTCTGTGTTTCTAGTATTAAGCATACGTATTGTAATCAAGACTTTGAAAACTAGCACTCTATGCTACATCATAGCATCATATATAACAATCCTCTCATTTCCCAACCTTAAGGATATTCTAAGCACTAGAGAGTCTCTGCTATTTATTTAAGCTTGCATGTTTTTTCTTTCCCTAGTTTACTGAATTATTTATTAGTTACATAGTATTCATGCTCTGTGCTAAGTGCCACTTCTCTCCCCTTTTGCAGCTGGAGTCCAAGTACATCTTCTCTTTCATTATCAATTTTAAAGCTCCCCCAAAGCTAAGAAGTAATCATTCATTGTGATGGAATCGTTGGAGTGGTAATATATTTTCAAAAACATTCAGATTTTGTTTTTAATATTGGGTCTATTTGCTGCTTTTTTGTTTGTTAATGATATATAGGCAATATATAAAATCTTCACACTGAAGTGCAATTATCTGTAGGCAAGATCCATAGATTGACGGGGTTCCAAGACGAGAAAAGCTGAAACTTGGTTTGCTGATAAAATGTTCATCTATTTGAATTCAAACAGGAATGGATTGATGGAGCATTCTCATACCTATATGCAAGACTAGGCAAGATGCTGTAGACCAGTATTTTTCACACTTTATGGTGCATAGGAATCAAGAGGGGATTTGTTACCATGCAGAGTTGAATTCACAGGTCTGGGATGGAACCAGAGATCCTGCTTTTCTAACAAGCTCCCAGGTGACGTTGATGCTGCTGGTCCATAGACTTCACCTTGAACAGGAAAGTATAGAGCAGTGGTCCCCAACCTTGGCTGCATGACGTGGGGAACTGAAAGAAATACAGATGTCCAGGTCCCACTTCGGATCAACTGAATCAGAATCTCTGGGGATGACATTCAGGCATTGCTAAATTTTTTTACAGTTCCCCAAGAGCCATGGACCTAATGTGTCCCCCACTAAATTCATATGTTGAAGCCCTAATCCCCAATGTGATGGCATTTGGAGACGGGCCTTTGGGAGGTAATTAGGTTTAGATGAGGTTATGAGAGTGGAGTCTTCTTGATGGGTTTGTGTCTTTATAAGAAGAAACACCAGAGAGCTTGCTCTCTCTTTCTCTCCGCCATGTGAGACACAGCAAGAAAGTGACCATCTGTAAGCCAGGAAGAGAGGCCTCACCAGAACGCAACTATGCTGGTACCCTCATCTCGGACTTTCAGTCTTCAGAACTGTGAGAAAATAAATCTCTGTTTAAGCCACCCAGTCTATGGCATTTTGTTATGGCAGCCTGAGCAAAGACACCAGATGATTCTAAAAATATGCAGTCTAGGTTGACAACCATTGTCGTAAAGGGTATTGAGGCGCCATAATCATAACTCTGTTTTAGAATACTTACAACCTACTTGGGGAGCTAAGACTTGGGCCTATAAAAGCCGTAGGTGGTCAAGTATAAGACTGGGTCAGAGAGGTAAAGAATACTAAGAGATTCAGAACAAGAGAGCAGCCAGGGTGGGGGTGATGAGGGAAGAGGTTGTGTCACTTCTTAAAGAGTTTTGCTGAGAACCAAATTTCAAAAAAACGAGGGCATAATTTACATTATACAATAAAAAGACTGCACAGTTATTAAGCATTCAGTTATGACTTTTGATCATTGTATACACTCATGTAATCACTACCTCAATCAAAACATAGAACATTGCCATCACCCCCAGAAAGTTCCCTGGTACCCTGTCCAGGCAATTCCCACCACTCACAGAGGCAAGAACCACTCTGATTTCCATCACTATAAATTAGCATTGTCTGTTTTAGAACAGATATATAAATGGAACCCACAGTATATACTTTTTTGTGTCTGGCTTCTTTTACTCAGCATAATTATTTTGGGATTTATCCACATAATTACATGTATCAATACATGTAATTCCTTTTTATGGTTGAGCGATATTCCATCGCATGGATATACCACAATTTGTTTATCCACTTAACTGCTGACGGATGTTGAGTTGTTTCCAGTTTAGGACTATTAGAAATATGGCTCCTATAATATTCCTGTTAAAATTTTTTTAAAAAAACATGTTTTCATTTCTCTTGGGTAAATACCTAGAGGTGAGGTATTTCTAGGCTATAGGATGATGTATGTTTAACCTTATAAAGAAACTGCCAAACAGTTCCCCCAAATGACTGTATCATTCTACGCTCCTACTAGCAATGTACAAGAGTTCTATTTGCTCCACATTCTCACCTTGGTTTTGTATTTTTTATTTATTTTTTTAATTTTAATTTAATTTTTGTATGAGTGTGTGAGGAAGATTAGCCCTAAGCTAACATCTGTTGCCAATCCTCCTCTTTTTGCTGAGGAAGATCAGCCCTGGGCTAACACCTGTGCCCATCTTCCTCTACTTTATATGAGATGCTGCCACAGTATGGCTCCACAAGCAGTGTGTCGGTCTGCGGCTGGGATCTGAATGTTCGAACTCCAGGCGGCCAAAGTGGAGTGCGGGAATTTAATTTTTAAAATTATTTTATTGAGGGCCGGCCCCGTGGCTTAGCGGTTAAGTGCGCGCGCTCCGCTGCTGGCGGCCCGGGTTCGGATCCCGGGCGCGCACCGACGCACCGCTTCTCCGGCCATGCTGAGGCCGCGTCCCGCATACAGCAACTAGAAGGATGTGCAACTATGACATACAACTATCTACTGGGGCTTTGGGGGAAACATAAATAAATAAAATTATAAAATTATTTTATTGAGGTCACATTGGCTTATAACATTGTGTAAATTTCAGGTGTACATCATTATATTTTGGCTTCTGTATAGACTGCATCATGTTCACCACCAAAAGTCTAGTTTCCATCCGTCACCATACATGTGTGCCTGTCTACCCATTTTGCCCTCCCCCACTCTCTTCCACTCTGATAACCACCAATCTTCTCTGTATCTGTGTGTTTGCTTGTTTGTTTATCTTCCACAGATGAGTGAAGTCATTCAGTATTTGTCTTTCTCTGTCTTATTTTGCTTAGCATAGGTCTATCCATGTTGTCGCAAATGGCACGATTTTTTTTATGGCTGAGTAGTATTCCATTGTGTATATATACCACATCTTCTTTATCCATTCATCCGTTGATTGTGAATAATGCTGCAATGAACATAAGGGTGCATATATCTTTTCCAATTAGTGTTTTCATGTTCTTTGGATAAATACTCAGAAGTGGAATAGCAGGATCATATGGTATTTCTATTTTTAATTTTTTTCAAAAAATTAAAAATAGTATTTTTTTGGGAAGGGGGATTATATATACATTTATTGAGCACCAGGCATCTGTATTTTTTTATTGATGTCATAATAGTTTATAACATGTGAAATTGTAGTTGTACATTATTGTTTGTCAGTCACCATATACATGCATCCTTTCCCTCCTTGTGCCCACCCTCCAACCCCCTTGTCCCTGGTAACCACCAAACAGTTCTCTCTTTCCATGTGTTAGTTTATATTCCACATATGAGTGAAATTACGTGGTGTTTGTCTTTCTCTGGCTTATTTTGCTTAACACAATACCCTCCAGGTCCACCCATGTTGTTGCAGCTGGGACGATTTTGTCTTTTTTTATGGCTGAGTAGTATTCCCTTGTGTGTGTATATATATACATATACACCACGTCTCCTTTGTATTTCTAGATTATCCTCCAAGGACTCAGTACTCCTTACTATGCTAAATTGCTTCTCAAAGGTCTTGGTCTCATCACACAGATGAGTTCATTAAAGAAATAAATGAGGCCTTAAAATTAAAAATACTGTTTTTCAAGTGGGACTTCATCAGTCAAGAGACATTTGGGTTGTTTCCACTTCTTGGCTATAGTGAATAATGCTGCAATGAACATAGCGGTGATCAACCTCTTTGGATTGTTGATTTCAGGTTTGTTGGATAGATACCCAGTAGTGGGATAGCTGGATCATAAGGTATTTCTATTTTCAATTTTTTGAGGAATCTCCATACTGTTTTCCATAGAGGCTGCACCAGTTTGCATTCCCACCAGCAGTGAATTAGGATTCCCATTTCTCCATAACTTCTCCAACATTTGTTGTTTTTTGTCTTGGTGATTAGAGCCATTCTAACAAGTGTAAGGTGATATCTTAGTGTTGTTTTGATTTTCATTTCCTTGATGATTAGTGATGTTGAACAGCTTTTCATGTGCCTATTGGCCATCTGTGTATCTTCCTTGGAAAAGGAAGGTCTGTTCATAACCTCTGCCCATTTTTTGATTGGGTTGTTTGTTTTTTTGTTGATCAGTTGTGTGAGTTCTTTATATATTATGGAGATTTTGTCGGATAAACGATTTGCAAATATTTTATCCCACATGGTGGGTTGTCTTTTCATTTTGATCCTGGTTTCATTTGCCTTGTAGAAAATCTTTAATTTGATGAAGTCCCGCTTGAAAAACAGTAATTTTAATTTTAAGGCTTCATTTATTTTTTTAATGAACTCGTCTGTGTGATGAGACCAAGACCTTTGAGAAGGAATTGAGCGTAGTAAAGAGTACTGAGTCCTTGTAGGATAATCTAGAAATACAAAGAGAATTGCAGGTGTAATAACCCCTTGACCCAGCAATCCCAGTTTTAGGAATCTACCTACATTTATATCTGCTCAAGGACAAGGTGATAAATATGCAAGTTTATTGACTGCAACACTGTTTGCAATAATAAAAGTTTAGAAAGAATGCAAGGGTCCAGTAACAGGGAACTGGTTAAATAAAGTACAGTACATCCATACAATGGAGCTCTAAGAAGTTCTGGAGAAAGAATGAGAAAGGTTGGTACATACTGACATAGAAAGATCTCCAGAACATACCATTAAGTGAAAAGAAGCCAAGGGGTATGTGTATAAAGGGGGGAGGGGTTAAAATAAGGCTATATATCTACACACACACACACACACACACACACACACACACACTCTTACATATGCAAAAAAAAAAAAGCCCACTACACTGGACACATAAATAAGAAACTAATACAATATGGTGATGTGCAGAAGGAGGGAGAGACAAAGTAGAGGGAGCAGGGTGGAAATAAGACTTCTCTGTGAATATTTTCCCATACAGTTTTGATATTGAATTATATAAATGTATTACCTATTAAAAAATTACAACTAAAAAAAATCCTAGAATTGAAAAACAAACCTCAACATGTATCACATTGGTAACAGGATCACAGAAAAACTGTGGAAACAGACAGATTTTGTGAAAATCTGTGCGCTCACAATGATACTTGAAAAAGAGAGAGACAGAAAAAATTCACTTGTCATCCCTGAGGTTGTTATTAACGAATTCCTCCCCTTTAAGAATTGACAATTAAAGGAAGAAGCACTTCTCCTGCTTCCCCAGTCCAAAATGTTTTCCAGGATAACCAAATAGATCTAGTTGATTAGAGAAAGCTCTTCTTCACTAAGGAATGGCAGCTAATACATGTAGAAGAAATGATAACACTGGAAATATCGCCATTTTGTGATTTCTAATGAATATTAATTCACGTAAGGATTGTCAAATGGAGTTGGCTATCTCATGACTGGTTGAGGGAAAACCGCACATCTGTACGGTGTTAAAGTAACTTCACACAGAACGCTTCCTGGTCACCAGGGGCATAACATCACTCGACAGCAGCAAGCTCCGGCGGTCATCCCATAACCCAGAGGACGGTCTGATTCTCAGTAATTGTGGACAGTGGATGGCACCTGCCTCCTGCTGGAATGCCATATAAAACACACAAAAGTACCCAAAATGTACTCTAGGCAAAATTTATTAACACGAATCAACCAGGCTCTCACCTCTAACTTCCGACTTGCAGGAAATACAGGGGACAGAGGAGCAAGCTAAGTGACCACATAAGGAAGCAATCAAACATTGAGCAAGAAAATTAATAGATGG